ATGTCGAGAAACTGATAACTCACTAGGGTTTTTTAAAAGCTGTGAGGCTTATTAAAATTATTTTTTTATTTAAGGCAAACAAGAAAGATGAAATGTTTTAAAGAGCATCTTCATTTCCTTTCACAAAACCTGCTCAAAGTTCATATTTTTCAATCATTAGGAAATGTTCGTATTCCTTGGTACATAATTTACAGACTTGCAGATATGACAGATAATTAATTATTTTCAAATTCCATCCACAAGAAATCTTCAGTTCTTTTTAAAGCACTGGTAGAGTTTTCAAAGGGACAACTATGCTTTGCAGTATGGTAGCATCCACTTGCATTGTCCTGTGCTCTGCTGGACACAGCCTGGAGTTAGATTTCAGTACTGGTAATCATTCCACTGATATGTCATTTACAGAACAGAAACGCAAGAAACTAAGACATTGCGTTGTTAAAAACCATCCAAATATCATGAAGCAACTAGTATGAAAGTCAACAGCAAATCAAATATACCTGTTCCTCAAAGTTGCTGTTGCACTGGACTCCAAGCTGCAAATGAATTCTTGAGGAGCCATTGGCGGTTTGCTTTGCATTCATGACGGCTTCCATGGTACCTTATGAATGGAGTAAAAAAATTCCTGTCAAACCACTGTGGCTTTGTCTGGAGTATCATCAGAGTGGCAGAGCTCAGTTAACAGACACAGGAGCCCTCTGTAACTACATTTGGAAGGGAGATAGAAATAATTTAAGCATTGGTGCTTAAAAGCTCCTTGTATAATTATAAACACTTATCCAATGAACTCTACACAGAGCCAAGCATTCTGTGTTACAGTTTCACAAGCTCAAAGTTACATTTACTAAATCTACAGATGCCTTAATGCTCTCTAACAAATTCATGAGAAAGGCAGTACATAAGCCATGAACAACAAAATGCTATCTCAAAAAACCCAGTTTATCTCCTGCATGGCAAATTACCAGCATACAACAGGCAATCTTCTTGAGAAACTGTGAGAATTCACTTCTAGGTTATCTTTAAATAATTTTCCAAAGGAGAAATTTGGGGAGAAATAAAAGATGAAACTATAACTTGGGAAATGTGCTCTATCACTGGGAAATATTTGTTCTTAATTACTACTTAAATGAAGGCTGCTTTCCCAGAAGGTCCACAGCTCCACCTGACCAAACTGAGATCACAGTCAATATCCCAAAAACACTTGCAATACCAGCATAATAAAGTATGCTGTGATTAATATACTTAAGTTTCACACCTTTTAGGTATTTGTGATCTCTGGGATTTAAAGAATATTTAAGTGGTCTTTTACAGGATCCTAAAAACAAAATTAAGAACTATATGAAAACATTTTATTGTAAAGAAATCTTTTTGATTCTCATCCAAATGAGTAAGTCACTGGGGGAAAACAATACTCACAAAAAAAATAAAAATTCAATAGATGTCATTTAAGAGAGGACAAGATTTCTGTGCATAAATATTTGAAAGACACCTATGTCTAGAGCACTTGAACCATTTGTTTCACTCAGAAGTTAACTGCAATAAATGAAAATTGCTTGTAAGAGAAATGTTTATGGCAAATATCACAAAAGCCTTTATAATGGTAGGAGAACTCAACATTAATTTCTGTGGCACAATAATTTTGCATAAGCCTGCATTTATGTATTTCCATATGTAGAAAACAAGAATAGGAAATTATAAACAGCAACTAGTACAGTAGTTAGTATAGTATAGGATAGTATAGGTATAGGTAGTATAGTATAGGTAGGATACAACAGTTAAAAAATAATGGAACTGTGTTGTCTTGCAAAATATTTTCAGTGGTAAGAGTGCTTAGTGCAGGATACAAACATGTTTTCATTGACCTTGTATTTCGATTTGTACAGTACTTGCAATGCTGTAATCACCTACACGCCAGAAGATGAATTAAAATGAGAACAGGTGCATAGAGAGGATATTAGGATGAGAAAGGAGCAGGGGCTCTATTCCAGTCACTGCTGGGAGGGGAGGAGGGGTGTGCACAAAATAAGAAGAGCCTGGCTCGTTCTGCTTAACAAAAGTTGAGACCAAATGTTATTGTTCTCAGTTAATACATTGCAGAATAAAATTTATTTTAGGCAAAGGACGAGCCTAAGATGGCAGAAGAACTCAAGGACATAAATAGATCAGAAATAAATTTAGCTAGAAGTTCAAGGTAGTTCTAAAATATTCATGGAATGAATCACAGACAACAATTCAAGTTGGAAGGACCCACGGGAGGACATCTAATCCAAGCTGCAGAGTCAGCTCTGAGGTCAGACCAGGTTGCTCAGGGCTTTAAGCCATCAGATCTTAAAAACATTCAAGGATGGAAATTGCACAGACTCTACGGGCAACCAGCTCCAGCTCTTGACTGTTCCCAGAGTAGTATTTCCTTCTATCCCACCTTTTCTCCTGTTAGAGCTTACACTCGCTGTCTCATTCTCCCGTAAAGCCCCACTGGGAAGAGGGTGGCTCTGCCTTCTTGATAACTCCTCTCTGGATCCTGGCTGGCTGCTGTTGGGCCTCAGCCTTTGCTTAGTTGCTTCATGTCTTTCCTCTACTGGGCTGCTCAGGGCTCTGCAAAGCATTAGAAGATGAAAGAGCTCAGTGGTGACAAAGGCAAAGAAGGCATTAGGGACATTGGTCTTCTCTGTGTCCACTGCCATAAAATCACTTTCCCCACTGAGCAGTGAGCACACAGATACTTGTTTGGCCTTCTACTGCTCACACAGAGGATGAAGTTCTTTGTCTTGCCTTTGATGTCCCCTCCTGTTCCAGCTGAGCTTGGCTTTCCTAACCCCACCCTTGAAAGCCTGGCCAATATTTCTAAGGCCCTCCTCTGTAGCCTGGCCCTGTTTCTGCCTCATTTTTGTGGTCATTTTCTAGATTTCTTTTGTGAGTTCTTGGCTTAGCTGAGTGGGGCTGATGATAAACCTGCTTGTTTTCCCAGGTATCATGATGAACCATTGTCATGTGTTCCATATAGGCATGGCAGTTTCTCTCAATTCTTTCACCCTACAGTGCTGTTACATGATCTCAGCTTCCCCTACATCCTGGACATCAGTTTTAATCTGCCCTGGTGTGTAAATCAAATTCAGTAATTCAAAAAGCACTGCAAAGATATAGGCAGGCTGTTAACTGAGCTCTGCCACTCTGATGATACTCCAGACAAAGCCACAGTGGTTTGACAGGATTTTTTTTACTCCATTCATAAGGTACCATGGAAGCCGTCATGAATGCAAAGCAAACCACCAATGGCTCCTCAAGAATTCATTTGCAGCTTGGAGTCCAGTGCAACAGCAACTTTGAGGAACAGGTATATTTGATTTGCTGTTGACTTTCATACTAGTTGCTTCATGATATTTGGATGGTTTTTAACAACACAATGTCTTAGTTTCTTGTGTTTCTGTTCTGTAAATGACATATCAATGGAATGATTACCAGTACTGAAATCTAACTCCAGGCTGTGTCCAGCAGAGCACAGGACAATGCAAGTGGATGCTACCATACTGCAAAGCATAGTTGTCCCTTTGAAAACTCTACCAGTGCTTTAAAAAGAACTGAAGATTTCTTGTGGATGGAATTTGAAAATAAGTAATTATCTGTCATATCTGCAAGTAAATTATGTACCAAGGAATACAAACATTTCCTAATGATTGAAAAATATGAATGTAAGCCTCTTATAAAAGGAAAGCATGTGCTGGTTTCAGCACCATGTTGTTTATTTGTGACAGAGAATTTTCCATCCTCAGTACTCCATCTCCTGCACAAAATAAAAATTTTCAGCCACTGGATGAACTTATTTTGAAACATAAAAATGTTTATCTGTGTACTGGGTACAGGTGCCCAGGAGGAAGGTGGGGATGAGAGCTGCAGAGATGACCTCTGTGAGGAGAGGTTGGGACTGCCCCATGCCAAACACAGTTGGTCCCAGGCAGAGATTTCCCTGTGACCCTGGAGAGGTCCTGCTGGAGCAGGTACTTCCCTGTAAACCCTGGACAGACCATGGCGCAGCAAACACCCACACTGCAGCCCCTGGCAGACATGTCTCAAAGGAACTGTCGCCCGTGGAGAGGCCATGCTGGAGCAGGTTTATGCTGAAAGACTGGAACTCATGGAGAAGCCCAAGGCTGGAGCAGAAAGTGTGAGGAGAATGGAGCAGTATAGGAACTGTTATAGACTGACTTCAGAATCCCATTCTTCATCCCTCTGTGCTGCCCAGTGGGGAGAAGGTAGAAGAGCTGGGAGTGAAGGGTTGAAGCTGAACCTGGGAAGAGGAGGGATAGATGGATGGAAGGTGGTTTATTGTTTCTCAACACCCAACTTGATTTTTAATTTAATTTAATTGGGAATAATTTAAAATAATTTCCCCTGTGCTGTCTCTTCTTTTGCTTGAGCCGGTAGCTGGTTAGTGATGTCCTTGTCTTTGTCTTAACCCAATAGATTTTTCATGTTATTTTCCCTCTCCTGTTGAGAGGGGTGATAGAGAAGCTGGGTGGGGATCTGACAGCCACACAAGGTCATCCCAACACTCCATCCTTGACCCAGTTCTCTTCAACATCTACATTCATGACTTGGACACAGGACTCATAGGAACACTAAATATGTTTGCTGGTGACACTAAATTGTGAGGAGATGTTGACCCCCTTGGGGGCAGGGAGACCCTGCAGAGAGACCTCAACAAATTAGAGAGATGGTCAATCATCAACAATATGAAGTTCAACATGATCAAATGCTGGATTCTGCACTTTAGATGGGGCAATGTTGGATGTGTTTATAGACTGGGGAATGAGATGCTGGAGAGCAGTGCTGAGGAAAGGGCCCTGCAGGTCCTGGTCAGTGGCAAGTTGAACATGAGCCAGCAGTGCCCTGCAGCCAGGAGGAACAACCCTGTCCTGGGGGGCATCAGGCACAGCATGGCCAGCCAGGCAAGGCAGGGGATTATCCTGCTCTGCTCGAGGGGAGACCTCACTGCTGTCTTCAACATCCTCATGAGGGGAAGCAGAGGGGCAGTGCATTGGTTAAGGTGGTGGTTACTGCAATTTTATTGAATAGTGGGCACCTGGCATGATGCAAATGCTACGGAATGAGGGGTGGAACGTGCTGGGTTTGGCTGGAGTAGAATTAAATGTCTTCACAGTATCTGGTACAGACTGTGTTTTAGATTCGTGCTGAGCACAGGGCTGACAATAGATGTTGATAGAGATGTTGTTGTTATGGCTGAGCAGGGCTCACACAGAGCCAAGGCATCTTCTGCTTTCCGTACTGCCCTGCTGGTGAGGAGGGTGAAGGTTGTTGGGAGTTTGGGAGGAGACACAGACAGGATAAGTGACCCAAACTGCCCAAATTGATACTCCATACCATGTGGCATCATGTGCAGTATATAAAGTGGGGGGAAGAAGGATGGAAGGGAGGGATGTTTGGAGTAATGACTTTTGTCTTTCCAATTAACCACTATGTATGATGAAGCCCAGCTCTCCTGATGGCTGAACACCTGCCTGTCTATGGGAAGTGGTGAATGAATTCCCTGTTTAATTTGTGTGTGTGTATTTTGCTTTCCCTCATAAACTGTCTATCTCAGCCCATGAGTTTTCTGGTTTTTACACTTCTGATTCTCTCCCATGTCCTACTGATGGGGGACTGAGCGAGTGGCTGCCTGGGCCTTGGCTGCTGGCTGGGGTGAAACCACAACAAATGGATACTGCTTCACTCTCATGACCAGTGACAGGATTCTAGGAAATGGCTTTAAGCTGAGTCAGGAGAGGTTTAGATTGTGTATCAGGAAAAGATTTTTCACCAGAGGTGAACTGAGCACTGCAGCAGGCTCCCCAGGGAAGTGGTCACAGCACCAGCCTGACGGAGCTTAAGGAATGTTTGGACAAAGCTCTCAAGTGCATGGTGTAACTCTCAGGGTGTCCTGTGTAGGGCCAGGGGTTGAACTTGATGCTCCGGATGGATGCTTTCCAAATTAGCATATTCTATGATTCTACAAAATTGTTTTGAGTAAGCTAGTGTGCTCAGAGTAATTTCAGCCTTTCTATCTCAGTCTCCAACAGGCTTATTATTAAGTTGAAAATTATTTCCATTTCCATTACCATTTGATTAAATTCTATTAGAGTTTTTGGCATGAAACAGAAACAAGAGAAGCAAAATTCACAGCATTGATCTATCATGACATTAGCTCATTTTAACATGATGATTTGTTCCCTGGCAAAATTAAGGTTCTGTATAATTTATACTTCAGTATACATAGAAGAGGCAAAAGAACTGGGAGTGATGCCTTAATCTTCTATCAGGATTTATTATTATTCCAGAGGTTGCAATGCACTTTTTTTTAGATTTTTTTTTTTAAAAGGGATGTCAATGACCTATAATTAGAATGGTACTAAAAATTCAGACATTGCCAATTCCAGCAGCGCTGCTCAGAAGGTTATTTCTGTGCACAGGCATAGCACCAGCATTCTGTAGATCTTAAAAGACTCGAGATGCAGTACAAGACTCTTCCCCTGTGTCATACTTGTGTCTGATATCCTGCATAGACATCTGGGAGAGCTAAATGAAAAGACTTCCCATCTTCCTTTAGGTTTTGCTTAAATGCAAAGGACAATATATCCCGCACTTACTTTCACACAACTCAACTGAGCTACAAGCAACAACAAAAAAAAGACAGAAAGGGAAGACTATTTGACTTACGTCAACATTCTTATTCTTTTTGGAAGAATGTTGTCCAGTTTAATCCTCATGTAAGTGATAAAAATAATAGTAGTGGATTAAAGCCAGAGTTTAAGAAAATACATTTAAATATATCTTTTTACTTAAAAATTAGTTTCCTCATCATTCAAAGACCTAAGTTAAGCTATGTTACATACACCTCAGGTATAAATTGAGAAAAGATTCAATAAATCAGACTATATAAAAAGCAAGAGACTTTTTTTCCCCAGAAAAATGTATTTGTGTTTTATCTGATCATATAAAAAACATTAAATTTAAAAAAAGAAGTGTATATATTTTTTCAAGTGTTAATGGTTTCACCATTCATCATAACTACATTCTGAAGTCCTGTAACACCAGGGCATGTTATCCTTATCTGTGTAGCACAGTGAGCACAATCTTTACACTGAGGTCACTCTCATCACTACTTCCCCAGAGCAGTTATCCTCTGTTGAATCCTCCTGAGGTCTCATGCGGTTGAACAGGTGTAGCAACACATAGCCACACTGAAATCTCGGTGAGGTTAACTGTGTTGGATGAACTAAACTTCTGTTTCTAAATGCAGTCAGTGGCAGCCACAATGTCCTCCCTGCTGAGGATTCTCCTCGATTGCTCTCTTCTATGTCCATGGCTTTGTCATAATTTAACACATCCCAGTGTAGATTCACAGCCCTCCAGCGCTTAAACACTCGATAAACAGATGCACCTTCATGGACTATCAGTCCTGAAAGTAAGAGGGGAAAAAAAAGCATTTATACAAAAGGTCAGTGGATATCATTTTGATACCAAATAGAGATTTAACACATTTTAATGACTCTGACAATTTCCAGATGCAATTAAATTACTTATAACATTAATAATTCAAACAAACTGTATATATGCAATTTAACTGGTTAGTCATTTGTCTGGGAGGCAGGAACATGCAGAGGAAATAAAGTTGCTCTGAATGAAAGCTCAACATAACCAATATTGCAATAATCTGAGCATACCCAACTAAAAAAATTATTCAGATTTAAGAAAACCAATGCAAAACTGGCAGATTTGGATATTGACTGTTTATTCTAGTGCTGCCCTTGTTCATGGTAAGTACTTATTTACATGGTAAGTATTTATTTACTGAGATTTGTACTGGTTTAAGAAGACCTTTAAGTAGGTTAGACCTTCTGTAGTGAACAAGATAGTCCTAAATTTGTTTAAGAGTGTTTTGTAGAATTCAGTACAGATACAGACAAATTTAACTGTGTTCTTATTCCCAGTACAACTTAGGAACACAGAAGATTTATGAAACAGCTGTAAGTATAAGGACCTTCCTGTCCTGCTTCTTTAGAACAACAAGAAATTAAATGTTATCATTAACTACAATGAGCATGGTAAGGATGATAGACTTTCTTCTTTCTCTTCAGTATTCAATAGGAAAAAGTTGCAACTTATCTTTTTCTTGAGACCCAGAAATATTTTAAAATATCCTTCAAGGAAAATACAGAATTTCTGGAGTCCTCAAGTGACCAATCTGCTCATGAATTTCCATGTAGCTAATATTTATGCCTATTGTATGCATTCAAGTTACTTATTTAAAGAAATGAAGCTCCTAACTTTTTGTATGTATGTATGTTTGTACTCACACTCTTTATAAGTGAGTATTACAAATATGGAACTACTGGGGAGACACATGGGACTTCTTACTAGTTTTTTCCTCAGCCAGCCTGGTTGAGGAAACTTACATGGTTCTGAGCAACACCACCTGTTTTCTCTGGCTCCCTGCTTTGGGAAGAGAGCAATCTGCCTAGCCAAAAACATTTTAAAATCTTTTTGTCCAGTGTGCTCCTTGCCTTAAACTTTCCTATACATGGCCACATCTATAATATAATCTGTGGTGTCCTTTAGCCCAAGAGATTGTATATCATCTGTTTCTACACAAGAAAATTGTGATTTAAGTGTTTGAGGTCCTTTAACACTATTGACTGATACCAGAAAGGAGATGCTTACAGAAAGATGACACAAGCAGAAATAGTGGTAAAAATATTTACATGAACAGCAAACCTCACATTCAAGTGCAATGATTTGCAGATAGCAGCACCTACTTTAACACATTTTTAAAGATCATTACACTGAAAGATGGAGAAACACAAAGATTTCATTCAGGACATCATAGTGAATGCAGTATCTCTGTAAGGCTTTCGAGTTGCCTACAATTATTGAAGCATACAATACAGCAAAAGTAGCACAAAACCAACTTAATTAAATAGTAAATATTTTAAATGCACTTTGCAACAGCAAAGTATTTTAGTGGGTTTTTTACTTGATTGCAAGACTTCTATCTTTATCTTCTCAAATGTAAAGTAACCTATCTTTAAAATTTAGCATCATTATAATTTAGTCAATACATAAATGTACCTTTAAAACTGGCTTGATTGTATAAAAAAGAATAAATGTATTTGATCCTATACAGAATCTACAAACCAAATTAGCCATTGTTTTACTGCTGTGACAAAGATTCCTCTTTTTGTGTTCTTTCTGATTTCCTATAAAGTTGATAAAGGAGATGAGAATAATCTTCCTCAACCTGTTCCTGGAACACAGCATTATTTGGTTCAACTTCTCTCAAGTCTGTGATGAAGCAGAGTTAAAAGAACCTATTTAATCCAAAGTAAAGATACATGTCTGCACTCCACTAGAACCTGAATAACATATTTCAGAATAGAGAAGGAAGTACTTGAAAAAGGATCATTGAGATACATGAAGTGCATTTAGAGTCAAAATATCTTTCAAAGACTACAACAGAAAACGTTGCAGGATGACTTCTCTCAGGGAGCTCTTTTTTACTGTTTTGGGGCTTTCAGAATTTATTGAAATTATATTTCAAAGTTTTTAAACATTGGCAAGGATGAGATATTTTCTTTATGGTGGAAGCAGTCAGTCACACATACTTTTAAAGTGCTATAAAACAAAGGATCAAATATTGCAAGCCTTGGCATAAAATTGTCAGATTTGGCAGTGCTGAAGGAGAAAAGGAGCATTTTCATAATTCCTCTCATGAAAACTTTTAGCTCCCTTTTTGATAGAGCTATAGATTGGAAAAATACCTTCCTAGAAGAGACAAAAGAACTGGGGGTGGTGCCTTAAGTTTTAGCTTTCACATTTTTCAGATTCTGTGCTGCCTAGATGTGTAGTTTTGAGCTTCATATTAAATGTTAGTGAGCTCTCTTCACAGAGTAGGCAGACAAAACAATTCCTTTTCTAGTTTGATACCAAGGACAATCATTACAAGTTTCAGGCCCAAAGCATAAACAATGGTGAAGAGAGAAAACAAGAAGGATGAGACTTCATAACCTGAAGCTGTAATTGGACAATTAACCCTGATATGCAGATGGACCAAATCATACAAAAATGTGAAACCTTGTGACCAGTCATCCATTTTGTGACCATTTTTAGGTCCATCTTGGGTGTAGCCCTGGCCAGGCTCCTGTACTGCCCAAGGTGTGTCCTTTAAGGCCTTTCAATAAATACCTACTTTATTCTTAACTCTGTCTAGCCTCTGTTCTAGGTCAGCCTTCTCAAGGCATCAGGGTGGAAGGGAAAGTTCTTGGCAACAACACTTCCAAGACCACAAACAAGAGGAACTCCAGGTAAGTTTTAAATACTAGAGATTTTTGAGGTCCAGCAGAGTTCTGATGCTCAAAACATAAGCAGTTAGTCACTGAAGTGGAGCTGTAAGAAAATGGCAAATAATTGTTTTTCTCCTAAGGGTTCCACAGGAATTAATGTAGCAATGAGAGAGAAACCAAGAACAAATCCCTGAAGAATACTGATTTTTTCCAAACACCATGATTTCAGCAGCACAGAGGACACAGCTGAACACTTGTAGGGGGAAAGTATTTGCTTGACTCAGATGATCCCAAAAAGAATTACAATTCACTATTGTTAGCTGTTCAGGTGTTCTGTCCAATTAATATCTTCAAGAAACAGAGTTTTTGGATGATGGACCCATATAAATGTCATATGGTCCTAAGAAGACTTTATCTCTAAAATGTAGGGATTGCAGTGGGATCCAGCCAACAGGATTATGAAGAATCTTAATTTTATTTTCTTTTCTTATCTTTTTGCCAAGTACTATTCTTTCACTGTACTCAAGGGTTTTCTTACCCTGACTCACAAGATACTTGAAATTTTTTACTACTGAATGTCTTTACAAGCAGTCAGCTTGTCTTATATCATTCATATTTGGTGGTATTAGGTTACAACTTCATCTTATTTATCACACTAATCTTATATATAATAATTTAGGAATGGTCCTCCCAGAAACATCACAAGATTTTGTCAAGGGATAAAAGATCATTTTCAGAAACAGACTTTACCTCTGGACAAACTGTTGTCTTAGAACTATTCTAGGGCCCACAGGTATAAAAAAAGAAAGCAATCAATTGCTCACAGCATTAAAGTGAAATATATCCATGCTAAAAATAGTAATATAATTCTTTATAGACTATTTAGAATTAGATCTAGTGTGGGAGAAAAAAAGACTTTCTGAGTAAAGACATATAAAGTGCAGCTAGATGTGTTCTTTGTAAATAACTTCAGTCTGTTCCTTTTTACAACCAAGGAGTTACAGGAATGTTGCAAGGCATCAAGTTCCTTAGCAGGGAAGAAAGAGGCTTTCAGAAGGCAATTCACATCCTGCATGCTCGCTCCCATCACTTACTCCTTTGCACTACTGGCACCAGTTGTGTCTAGTGCAATGTAACAGCTGCTTTTCACCTGCTGGAAAAGGAGCAGCACTGTTGTTCTGGGATTGCAAGTCAACTGTTATTATTTGTAAGAGATTTTGTTCATGTTAGAACCATTTATGACCAGTAGTTACAACTATTTTCCAGTGAAAAATATATAAAATTCTATGACTTTTCTGTTATGCAAAATAATCTAGGTTTAGAAAGTAGAATGGCAAATACTTGATACACTGTCCTTCAGTGGGTAGATAAGAGATTTATATTATTCATTCCTTTCATGAACTCACTCCCTTTGGTAATCCTTACATAGATGGTCTGATCCTAGCACTATCACTGGAATAGCTCTGGATTTCACAGGTTGTAGTTCTGCTTGATCAGGGTGTTCAAGGTTTGCTTTAGGAAAACTACCAATAGCAAATTTCAAAGAGAATAGCTTTACTCTCAGCTTTGATGCAGAAAAGTACAAGGTAATGACTTGTAGTGTTAAAACCAGCACTGATAAGTTAAAACAATCCTATTTGTCAGGAAGAACTCCGAAAAAATTCTGATTAGAAGAAAGAGAACGCTGGATACCAATAAAACATGTACACTAGAATGAACAGAACATATTATTCTGGTGTTCTATAATCTTTGGGATTTTTCTTTTGTTGAAATGTAAAAACAAGGAATAAAAATACAAGATAGGTGTAATTTACTTAATAAGAGAGTGATTGGTGTGATACATATGATATATAAGTCAATCGTTGAGCAAATGAATTTTTACATGCACATTTTCAAAGATGTCATAAAAATATGTCAGTACCTTTAGGCAAACTGCTTTTTAAAATTATAGCAAAACATTTCAAAAAGTGCTTCACACTTTTTGTGTGGAGATATCTACACTTCACAAATGACCAAAAGTATTTGTATTGTTTCTGCAAAGGTGTAGGGAAACATAACTGAAGGCAGGTGGAATAAATCTTGGTCATACCACCAGTATCTCAAGCATTATCTTGAAATATGTGGTGCACAGGAAAACCTGTACATCTGCACAAATTTTTCATTGAAATAAAGGGAGATTACAGTGGGAGTAGAAGCATTTGCTCACTGTAAATCCTGTTGAAAACTAAGAGAATGCCATGGATAACACAAATAAAAGGAGAGGGGATCTTAACTGAGAGCTGTAGCTGGTTGTAAGCATTACAAGCTTTATGATATAAGAGATTATACATAATAATGGTAAAATCATAAGTTAATGCCTTGGGAAGTCATCAGCATAACGGGAAGTGTTTGGGATTTTTAAAATAATTTATAAGTAATAATTACATATATTTATTAGAGAATATTATTTGAAAATTTTAAATTAAAATTATCAATCTAAACCCCCTCACTTTATCATTAAAGAAAAAGATGAAATTGAATAAGGTTGACTATATTAAGGAATACTTTTAGGAGTTACAAGAAGACCTAATCTTACAAGCTGACAGAATGCAAATTACTTGAAATTATATGCAGAATAAGTGAGTCTGAATGAATCTGGATTATCAAAATTCCTCAATTACCAAACCTTCTTTATACAGCTTTCTGAATTTCCAGATACAGTCTAAAAAACTCCTAAGTCATATCTGCAGTGAATTTTGTAACTACAAAAGTGTCCAAATAAATTTAATAGTAGTCACTTTTACATTTAAATTTTCATGTGTTATTTATGATAGTTCTGTAAAATATGCATTTATTAAATTACAGGCAAGTCGGTTTATCTGTGTGTTTGCTTTGCTCCTGCAGGCTGTACTTGAGCCAGAAGCTCCATATGAGGCACACGTTTGTTCAGCAGCTCCCCTTTCAGTGGTGGCTTGAGCCTAGCTGGCTTGCAAGGCAGCTAAAGAACTGCATGTACCAATCTATGGAAGGTCACCTTCCAAATACTTACTTCTATGGATAAATACAGTAATATTTCTGATCACCCACAGACATTCTTGGATGATTTTGAGTTTAATCTGGTTTAGGTGTTTTAACAGTAAAACAAATGGGAAAAATGAAAATAATTTGAAGTAACTGGTTAATTCAACTAGCTGATGCATACCAAAGTAATTCTTTTACTGGGGGAAAAAAACCCAAACAAACCAGAATTCCATATAAATGAAATGTTTGGAATGTCTGAAGCACATTTTATCTTCCTTTAGTGTATTTTTAAACAAAAGCAAAGCCCTCAATATTGAGTGTTAAGCTGGAAGAGGTGATATTCAGAAATCAGCATCTAAGAGGACATGTAGCTGAGTCCTTTTATTTATTTAAAAGATGAGCACTTGTCCAAGGTATGAGATTCTGTTCACTTTTCTGTCTGAGATTTGGATTCACAGAAGAAATTCTGTGTTACAAAATATTCCAAAGCAGGCTTCTCTAACAAAAATTACAAAATGAACAGAACTGCTGATGTAGCTGAAATATAAATACTTTACAGTAATGGGATGGTTTCAATAAAAGGTGATGTGGCTTTACAGTTGAAGCAAACGCCTTGATATTAGGAGTCATTCTGTTTCTTTGTTCCTTACAAGCAGAATTCAGCACTGTCCTAATTCCCATATATAAGATTCAGATAACATTTATCTCTCAGAAATGTCAATGCAAACATCAGATGGCATTTGACTTCTGGATTTTCTTCCAATTAAAATTCTGTTAATGTGGTTTAATGTAAATAATTATTACTAATTATGTAAATTTAATTCTCTAAATTATATAACTAAGTAATATTTAATGTAAATTTTCTCTCCAAATAATCATAAATATTCTAATAATCAAATCAGGTTGTTTAACCAAATACTAAAGGGATTTCTATTTAAATATTCCCAAGTCCAGTGTATTTTCAGAAATTTCAAAAGTGGTCAACACAGTGTTGCAGTACAATGTTCAGTACAATTAATTCTTTTACAAGATTTCAGCTAGATTACTTGGGACTTTTCAATAGTAAAGCAAGTTACTATAGTTAGCACTGTGTAAGTGTTTCATAATTGTTTATGATGTGCAAAGAACTCATGCCTGCCATCTCTGCTCCCCTCCATTTCTAGCACAGTGACCTATATAAATCTGGGCAACCTAATTTTGGGTGTGCAGTTTGTTGGCATCTTCAAGGGCTTCTTCTGTGCTTCAGGATGGTACAATCTAATTTAAACTGGCATCAGAAGATGACAGTGCGTAATTTTACTAATGATTTTAATGATGTCTTTCATATTTTTCAAAATATTTCATATTTTCATCTGTTTAACTTCCTGAACTTTGCTAGTTGTTTTATCAAGAAATTTAAACTGATCCTGTTCTCACCACTGTGATTTTAGGAATACACTGATGTATCTGAGAGTAAAGCTTCTTTGATTCTTTTCTCTCTGCAATATTTGCAACACTGTAAAACGCAGCACTTGACAAAGGGTATCAGCTGAGAATAAATCTGCAAAGAACTGGAGTGATCAATTAGAGTGACCAATTAGAAAAAATAGAAATAGTCACAGTCTTAAACCACAGTCTGTGCTGTTTAAAGATTTTGAGCTTACCTATGCATACTAGATCCATAAAACCATACATTCCATAGCAGATTTGAAAAAGGATGTCCTTTCTTTGCCATACTGCATAAGGGCTGAAGGCTGACCATAGAAGCCAAGTCACACTTGCTACTAAGAACAGTGATCCTAGGATTACAGCAACCATCTGCACTTTCTCAACCAGTGTTATAGTAATGCTTTGCCACTAAAAGAGAAACAAAGTTGTATAAGATAAAAATGTTATTGTCCATGGTTGCACATTCAACTCCACCTTTTTTTTTCCTGAAATTAGAAATTATTTTAATATTTACACAAATCTTCATAGATATTTACTAATATTCTTGATACTGACATCTTTTTTCCTATTTCACTTTTAAAGTGAAGCTGATAGTTGCATCCCCATTTCCTCCAGTGTCACTATCAATATGATCTAACTGTGAACTTCCAAAGAGTTTTACTTCTGTTTTGAATATGTAGGCAAAAAAAATATTAAGTCTTAGGAATGGAACTCAGTCTTTCATCTTTGGATGGGCAATGAACAATAAAAAGGGAGTTTGCAAGTATGTAGTATGTTAGTGTGACAAGTTTTCCTTTCCATCCTTCCCTCCTGAAGTGTGAAGCCATTTTCCACTTTCAGGCTTCTCATCAAAGAAGTTCCAGACATAGCAAGGGAGTTCTCTTTCTCTGCATAAACCAGTGTAAACAGTACAAAAAGACTCCTGCAACCTAGTGTGGAAGCAACATGAAAACTCAGGAGGAGCCCTGAATATAGACAGCTCAAACATTTCTTTTCAGTGCACCCCAAGTATATCCATCTTTCCAGGGAAGGCGGTATCTTCCATGTGTGAGGTGGCTCTGGCTTATGGTGTGACAATATTTAAATCCAAGAGAGTGTGTGTACTGACTTCTGTCAAGTAAAGAGAAATACAATTCTGTTACAAGTCACAAAAACAAAACACAGCATAGGGAACAAATTGTTCTAGATTACCCTTAACATATATGTCTTTTCTTGGACATAATTATCTAAATTATTTTGGTAGACTCTCCACTCCAGCCCCATCACTCCTTCCAGGGCTGGTGTGAAGACTTTGTAGACAGCCAGCTTTCCTGTTCCTAATTTTGGATGTACCTGTCTCCTTCTATAGTTGCAATAGGGAACAAGTGGAGAAAGCTATCGCAATAAGGGTTTTCTTGCCTCTTTTCCCATCTGGCAATAATTTTTCCTTTTTCCTATTACTCTACTAAAGCCTTCTCTGTTTTGCAGCTGTTGGGTACCCAGTACCATATAATCATAGGATAAAATAATAATTTAGGTTGCAAGGGGCTGTGGGAGTCCTCTACTTCCTGCTCAAAACACAGCCAGGGATGAGATCAGACCAGGTTGCTCAGGGGTTTATTCTGTAACACCTTGAAAACTTCCAAACATTGAGGCTGTTCAGCCTCTCTGTGCAACCTGCTCCACTTCTTGACTGTGTTCAGGTTCAGAAAAGTTTTTCTTCAAAAACATTTTTTCTTTTATTCATTCTGATCCTCTTTTGTCCCACTTACACTCTTCCTCCCATCAAGTACCACCACAAAGAGCCTTGATGAGCAATGGGTCCTCTACCCCTTTCTTCTTTCAGCTTTTCCCATTAACTTTTCTGCTGTAGCCTAATATGCACAATTGATGCTGCATTTCTTCTCCTCTTCCAACCTTCTGAATATAACAGTACAAAAAATAGATGTATAACAATTTGTAAGTTGTCTGTCTTGAAATACTATCCTTTCATAATGAACTCATATAATGCATACTATATTTTTCATGGAACTTGAGGGTTTTGAATGGGGCTATTCATACTGAATACTACGTTTTTAATGGTGAAACAACTATGGATACTCATTTCCTTTGTTGAGTCTTTTTATAAAGGTTGAAGGTCATTAACAAGTGATGCATGATGGAATGGTGTGAGCTTTTCATGACTCAGTATTGGAAGTTCAGGACTGAAATTCATTGAACATTCTTTAGACTCCATAGGGTAATGTTAAACAAAATTATTTTTCATTTCTCAGCTGAAGCTACATAGTGTGACTTGGCAGAAAACTATCAAAAATTCTGTTGGTTATGTTGGTTATGTATGTCTATCTTCTTCCTTTATCAGTGTGGGACAGACCTGTATTAAATTTCTTTGGAATGCCTGAAATCAAAGTCCATTTACATGAAGCAAAGCTTTAACTGTCACAAAATATTACACTGTCAAATTCACAGAAGAAGCTAGCAATAAATTGAAAAGACTTAAATAAATGAAATCTGATAGCAGATCTATCACAGGGCAATTTCAGCAATGCAAAAGTTCCCAAACTCATTTCAATTTATTTATTTATTTTTAACTTAGATTGACCATAGTTAGTCTGCAAAGAGTAATGAATAAAAGGAAACGCAATCCAAACACTTGGGAAAAATAATGTAGCATGCACTCTAGATACAAAGCTTATCCCCTATTCTGGTGATACTTGACAACCAGTGTCTCTTCCTCAGTGTCAACCACTCCCACCACCCATTTCATGAGGGCTTTTTGTTGGGTTTTCCCAATTATTTATTTTTATAAAAACATGACCTTGAAAAGTTCTAAGAAACATAGATATGACCCTTGCCTCTTCCTAGCCTCTTCTAATGAATAAGTCTAGTTATTTTGCTCTTCTCCTGATCTGTGAAGAAGGCAAGCAATTGAATCTCTCAACCTCAGTAATGTCAGTAATTCCAAAGATCCAGCATATTAGCATGCTATCAAATAATTACAGTTACTGAGAAAAAGCACAAGCCTTCCAGAGGTTGTTGTTCCTAACTTTTCTGCCTTTCAAAATCAAAGATCAGTTTAAAAAAACCTCCCCAAACCAACAAACCAAAAACCACATCAAAATAATAATATAACAAGAACCTCAAAATGGGGCTAGATATTTTCTTCTATTATCCAACTACTTTAACCTTTGTGGTATTGACTGTCTTTGTTCTACAAAAGAAATTTTAGTCCTCCAACTTCTTCAGTATGAAAGTCAGCAATAATCAAGACATTCAAAAATTTTAGGAATTTTTCCTCCCTAATACTGTAATCTGTAAATTAAGCTAATTGATGATATTCCTTAGTAGAGGGATGAAGAAAGAGTGTGTGTGTAAGACAGAAGACATTTTTAGTGGCCTAGAAAATTTATGTGAAACCACCAGCTTGCCTCCTTGTGGTCAGCAGTCTGCCATATGAATCCAGTGCCCTAGGAGTGATGGGGTGGGATGAATTGTTGCTCAGCTCTAACGTGATGAGCTTGGGGACCTCATCTTCTGTCTATGTCGGTCCTTAGGTTCTTGCCTAATGGCAAGAAGATTGTGAATATTCCTGACGGTTAACTTACCCCAACTGAAATTTCCTCCTCCTTGCCCCACTCCAATGAGTTTTGATTTGTGACAGTCTGAGATTGCCTCTTGGGAAATGAGTGTCTTGATTTTTTTTCCCAAAAGTTTGACCGAGTTTGGGTACAAATTATAAAAAAGAGAGCAGATGTTACTGGGACGCGTATATTTTTCACATAATAAAGGTGACGTTATTCACATGTGGATAGGCTTGGAATGTTCAGTCCTTCCTTAAACATGTGCAGCATTAGCTATTAGACAATGAGATGAACTGCACAGGACTGTATTGTTTGGTTGCTTTGCATTTCGTAACAGGGTTGTGAAGAGGAACTGGAGTTGTGGTCACACCATTTGCTTGTGCCTGACATCTCACTCACAGCATGGCTAACGTGTGAGAATACAACTGAAAGAAACCCAGGAAAAGAAAGCTCTTTCCAAGAATAAGATTCTTTTTATGTCATCAAAACTCAGCTAAACTTTCTTTGATTTCTCACAGTCATTTTCCTTATTGTATTCATTGTTATGTTATAATCACTTCACCTTTTAAGGTCAAATTAATAGCTTACAAGGTCACAAAAATAATATAGTAAAAATAATTCAGTGATAGTTAATGTTGAGAAATTACATTTCAGAATATAACAGACTGAATTATTTAACATTGTAAATTGAATGATCACATTATTAATGTCATGATTTAAATCCATTCTTTCCACTCATGTCTTTCTCATTTTCTTCATATAATTCGCCTCAAAAATTTTAATTGCTCATGATTATAAATAATATTATGACTTTCTAATTTGTTGATTTCTAATTTGTTTTTGCTATTTGCTGAATCTACATTCCACAATCAGTAAAAATTATTTTAGCTAAGTATTTTGCCAAGTTAAAAAATATCTAGACAGGATTTTAATGTCAGCTTCTGTAAAGTACGTGACCCTAAGCAATAAATATTATGAGAGAGATTGTCATTTTTGCTCAATAACTAGAAATGGAAAGAAAATGTGAAATATTTTGTATCCAGATAACTATAATAATACTGTAGGTTTCAGATCTAATCATTAAAAAAACCTCATTTAAATTTCTATGAAATAAAATCCCATTTCATATTCCTTCCCATCATATCTGTAGTGTTATGATATACCATGATATTTCATAGTTGCCCATGAAAAAAAAGCCATAAAAAAAAATATTTTTATTTACAATGATGGCAAAATCTTCTTTGAAAATCGTGTTTTAAACAAAATATAATTAATGTTTATTGTTTTCATGTAATACATGTCTGCCCTTGAAAATTTCTAGACTTTTACTTCTACTGACACTTTATTATGTTTGGTTCTTTTAAACATTTATTTACTACTGGTCTTCCCCTGATAAATCATTTGGGAGTATAGTACATTACTGGTACTCTAGAGTTCAAATTCTGACCCCAGAAACATTGCTCCTCTTTTCTTCTAAAGTTTCTGTCAAACAAAAATACAAATATAAGGAAATGATTCCTTATTTTTGAGACTGAGACTTTCAGAAGTTGAAGGAAACGTATTGTTTTGATGGACTAATTGTTAAAGAATAAAGTTAATGAAGTTATGTGCATGTCCTTACTAACATAAAGATGGATAAAATACTCAAAGGTCTGTCATCTTTGTGATGAATCAATATTAACTTGGCTTTGTTTTAATAAGGCCTTGTAAAAGCCCATTGATTACTGTATAGTACATGGCAGAAAAGTGATCTAAAAAGTACTGAGACTGTACTTGTACCTGGAATACTTTGCATTAAAAACATCTGCAAAGAAACTATAGGTTTTCCTACATCCTCAATAAAGAACA